TAGATAGATAGATAGATAGATAGATAGATAGATAGATAGATAGATAGATAGATAGATAGATAGATAGATAGATAGATAGATAGATAGATAGATAGATTTGTGGCCTTGCCATTATGTAGCCATAGGGCTTCAGAGCCCGTGTTGGGCTTCAATATCACTGCGTACTCTGCGGACTGATATTTGCAAAAAATCTTACAAAACGATATCTTATCATTTCAAATTCCTACAATGTTCCAGTTAGAGCTGCCATCAGCAGCAACGTTGGATCGTCGGTGGAATCACGAAAAGTACACCTACATTTTCACGTTGTACCTGCCCGCTAACAAACCAAAAGGTAATCTGCGTTTGATTTTGCCGAACAAAATCCTCAATTGAAGTCAGATAACGTTACAGCTTACTTTGAAAGTATTGCAGCGCTGTGAAACAAAGCAAAAATAAACCTAATTTACAAGAACACATTTTGATAATTAACATACATTCTTCCACTTTTTAAATCCACAGCCTATAGGTACAAAAACTAACTCACCATTACTGAAGCGGGAATGGCCACTTCTGTCATTGTGCAGGAAAGGACGCAATTGCGAAACTGATCCAAGATCGAGAGGTATGCTGTTTGCACAAAACTCCCCCAAATAGAGTTTTTAGCTTATTTCTGCCTTTGCTGTAGCCGCAGCTTCTGTCTTGACGGGAGATACATTCCATGCACAGCACAGGCAACGTGCAGATCTCTAGGAAAGACTTTTGATCCCGGTTGTCACAATCACAAACACAATCACACACTCCAAACACACACACACACACGCGCGTAAAAAAGGCCGACGGCTTTCCGACGGGCATAGGAATGCAGCAACAGCTGGAAGCCCAAGTGGATAATTAACAAGGGGAGGGAGTCTCTCTCTCTCTCTCTCTCTCTCTCTCTCTCTCTCTCTCTCTCTCTCTTTCTCTCATTCACTCACTCACTCACACAAGCTGAGTTTAATGTGCAGGTGTTAACAGACTACAGAAAAGTACACTTGACCTTTCATCAAATGGTTCAAGCCTCTGACAAAGAGAGGGGAGTGAAGGATAAAAAGAAAAAGAGAGAGCGCATTATTTCAGCCTTGGCAGCTGATAAGGATATCTAATGATTTTACAACATGCATGCATGCAGTCTCATTCACTCCTAATACTGAGAGTTTGTCTCTATGAAGAAAAAAAAAACTTGGGGGGATGTTAAACGTAGTAAATGGTTCATATATTAAAAAACATTTAGACCGAACAATAAAGGAATATAATGATGTTTAGTGAATAACAAGCTTATTATATAAAGTCATATAGATATAGGGATTTACGTTAGGGTTGACCATGAATACCTGTCACTCACATAGTGTGACACTGTAAATATCCACACTCAAATCCACTACACAAGCAGATCCATCTTGCATAGAAAAGTGATAAAGAACACTGAAGGTTTTCTGGAGGTAAAATTCCTGTTGAGGCATATTTCTCAGCGAAGTAAAGCTATTGTGGCTTTTATTTCCATTATTAATTGCAACAATATAGTTGCATAACCATAAAAAAGCCCATGGCATACCTCATGGATGCAGGTGTAGTAAAGAAAGAAATGTGAACGCCTCTTGTGTGCGCTTAATGGCAAAGAGTCCTTCTTTCCTCTCTGACAAAATATTGCTCGTAGTTCTCTGTGTAAATCCACTTCTAGATAATCTTTTATTATTTGATCTACACATCTGGAACTGCAAATGTCTTATAGGCTGGTGTTTGCATAAGCTGTGTGCACCACTTGTAAACTTCAGCTACATGTCCAGTCATGCAGCTCTCTGAAGACATCACGAGGCACAAGAAGATGCCATCAGTTCTCGATCACACAAAAACAGTTTTACTTGGCAGGATTCTCTGCATTCGTTACAGTTCATAACAATGATTGCATGAAGCAACAACAGGAATGATCCAGAGCCATAATAAAACCTAAGTCATGCAGAATTTTGCTGAGGACAGAATGCACGAGGTATTCTTTTGGTTAGAAAATGATAAATATAGAAGTGAAAATGGTCCTCTGGTTTAGACTAAGGTCAAGGAAAGTTTGCTGACACACACGCACGCACACACAAAAAGTCCATGCTGACATAGGACATTCATGGATTCTAGATTATCTTATCTCTCAGGCACTGAGTGGACCCCTTAATGGATAAACAGGAAGAGAACTTGTTCACCCAGTGTGCTCCACTTTCTCCACTGCTTCCTAGCATTCCACAACACCTGGTATGTATGACACTCTAACTGGCCAAAAGCACACTAAAGAATCTAAAATATCAGGTTTACTTTACATTAAATTAAGTTCATGGACTTTTTAAAACTTTTGTTGGTACCAGCTAATGCATCCATCAGTCCTGAATGAGAAAGAATTTAAAAAGGGAACAGCTAAGACCTTATCTGGGTAATACTGCCTGAAAATTGCTATTCCTTTTAGCTTTCTTTCTTCTCAAGTATTTCCAGAAGCTCTTAAGTGATTATGTTTGCATGGTTGCCTAGAAGCAATGAAAGCTTCTAAGCTTTCCCAGTGATATCATCCCAGAGCATGTGGGTTTCAGAAGGCCACCAAATGTTAGACGGCATTCCCGAATGGATTCCACAATTCTCATGTGACCCCAGGAGGTGTAGCAGGAGCACTGGAGCTCTTTGGAAAGTGATCACACTCTCCAAATTTTGACAAAACCTGAATCTGACTTTTTTTTAAAAGTCCGAGCTGTCAGCTGTCATTCAACCCGAACTTCTATAGGCATTAGATACAGTGTCAGATGCATTTTACGTGTGTTTTAGCACTCTAGTCCAGGGGTGTCCAGAGACCTGAATCCACCTGGCAAAGACTCTGATCCGGCTTACTGGATGTCTTTGGAAAACGCAAAAGAGGGCCTAAACTTTTGGATTTGTAACTGTATATTTAGGAGTAACACCAAGGTAAAAGATAAGCAATTAAATGACAGAAAAGTACCAGGTTTTTCACCATTTACTATAGAAATGTCAGTTTGGGGATTTGTTTTTTAACAGTGGTTTCACAATTAAAAAAAAAAAAAAATCTGTGAATTAATAAGAACTTTGTTATAATTACAGGACAGGATGGGCAATGAAATACCAGAATTTCTTTGGTAATATTTCTCACAGTTAAGCCCAAAGACTGATGCTGACAGATTTCTTTATCTTTATCGTGTAAGAAAAAAAACTGAGACATGCTGTCTTAATTGAAGCAATTTATGTTATATTAAGATATGTCAGAGATTAAATTTGTAGTTGAACCTGTGCACTGACAGAAAGGAGGTGTTTCACTGGTCTGGCCCACTGGAGATCAAAGTTGGCTGTAAGTGTCCTACGATGTGAAATTAGTTTGACATCCCTGCACTAGTCATAGCGGTTTTAAGGAGAAAATTAGCAAACAGGAGTGTATAAGGCTGGTTTTGGTTAAAACACTTCACACCACAGATGTACCAGAGATTTAATGAATGGAAACCCTGATTACTCATATGTGAAACCACTGCCTTGCACCAGTTTAACACACGCGCCTTGTAACCAGAGAAAATATTTTGGCAACTGAGGTAGATGAAGGAAGTTCTGAACCTGGTAAGAGAGAAATGACATGAGAACATGTGAAGTGGCAGAAATACCACTGCTTAAAGTGGCACAGTTGTAGAACTATCTCAGCTATGGTGCCCAACCAGTTTAGGGGAGCTCTGTGTCAGTATTGTCACCTTACTGGGTAGAGAGCAGCTTCAGAACAGCAGTCTTTATAAACGGCTGGACAGAAAAAGTTAATACTGCAGGATTTTATTAACATCTGAGTGATTACGCTTAGATCGTCTTCTCCTTTGAAACCTGGGAAGCCAACAGGGATACAGTTAAGTGAGAGACTAAGGGGAGAGCAAAAGACAGAACCAATCTAAACAACAGAGGAATGTTCTCAGCTCAAGCTGCTGCTCGAACTGCTGCTCCCTGCTCTCCCACTTGCCTACAATGGTATGTGTAATTACTCCACAATTAAAGTGCCTTTGCTCGTCTGTGTGTGGACCTCGCAGTGCCTGGTGACCACACTCAACCTTGTCAACAATGTGGCCTGGACACACCAGGCTATTTGACATAAGTGAGTCGGTGAGTGACAAAATGAGGACAGGGTTAAAAAGTAAAACAACATTTCCCTTTTAGATGATGATGCCGCTGCAGGAAAAGGCAGCTGTTCTGATCGCTATCTTGCAACAGGTCCACCTGCTACAATTTTACAACTTCAGCTCTATTTGAATTAAATTCTTCCCTTTTGTTTCAGATCTTTCATGTCATCTACCTTCATTTAAAAGTCTATTTTTGTTACTCCTTCCTTTCTCTTTATATGACATTTCCTCTGCTGTCTCATTTTCTTCTCTTACTCTAGTCTGACCACAAGAATGCAGGGTGACTGTCGCTGCTCTACTGTCCACGCATGCATAGTAATCACTGGCCCTGACAGGCACACACACAGACTGTAAATCACACTGATGCACATGCACACTATCAAACAAGCAAAAACATTTAAGACCTCAACAGTTGGCATTTGGTTTCATTTTAAGCATAACAGTTTTTAAATGAACCCTCATCCACATGTTTGCATATACTGTACACAACCATATACTCTTCACTTCCTTTCCAACATACATTAATTGGGAGACTAGTTTTATTTCTGCACATTTAAGCACTGTAAGAGGAAACAGACCAAGGGGGAAAAATACGATAAACAAAGATATATATAGCTATTTGTGTGTATTTGTATGTGTTTTGTGGGAACTGCGGCGCAATTTCCACCCATACTGGGCTTTTCCTATGCAGTCCTCCTAAAGGTGCCATAGTCCGCATTGCTTGTTAAATTCAGTAAGTAATGAGAGAGCAGCTGGCTTCTCTTTCATTAAAAAAAAAAAGAAAAAAAAAGGCATTGCTTAACATATAAATAAAAATACCAAGAAAAAAATTTAAGTATGTCTTTTTTTCCCCTCAAGTTCATTTAATTACTGGAAAAAGACCAAGTCTACATTTAACAAGCCAACCCTAACTCACTGGTCCAGTTTCAACAATCATTAGTATGTTGGAAATACAAATGAGTTCCATTGCAATCATATCAAGAATTTCTTTTCACACAGAGTTTATCTTGTAAACAAACAAAGAAGCTACCCTAATCCCTTGTGTGCAGTTCATACAATAGTGGCTAAAATGCCTACAGACAGCATTTTAACATGCAATTCTGTCTCTTATCTTAACTTACAAAGTCAGTAATTTCATAAGACCATTTAAAAATACAAATAAACCAAATTCACATCTGTAATATTGATAAACCATCCAAATAAACTTCCACATAAGCACCCGAGAGGTTAAAAGTCATATAATCATGCAAGGGAAAATGTACAGCAGCTACCAATCTGGTGACCTGCCTGGCAGTCCCATTTAGTAGCAAATATGAGATGTATTTCTAGCTTTCCCTCAAAAGGGAAAGCAGAAAAAGGAATCTGCAGATGCAGCCAGAACTCCAGCATGACACGACTCAGTCTGCCTTATGAAGATGGTAAAAAAAATGCAGCTGGGCATGCCTGGTTTTCTCTCATCTGAGCTCTCACTTCTTTCCCTCTTTTGGACTGTCTTCATAGAACTGAGGCTAAGAAAGTCATCTACAACTTAAAATCAGACTGAAAGTTAGCTGACGAGCTCCTTAAAAATTGAAAGGCTTTATTTTAAAGGACCCAAGCTCATACAGAGTCCATCCCTGCACATCTTAATGCTGAGTGTCCTTAAGCAAATACACTGAAGCTCTACCAGCAGCACCAGAGCCGTTTGTGAACAATATAAAAAGAGAGGCAGGGAAAATTTGCCACTAGACTCAAAGCCACCATGTCAGTCTTCCTGGTATGAAAACGTGTGTCATCTTGGTTTGCGGTTCTGTTCAGACAACAGCAGGTTATTTAGCTTGATTACAATGTTGGCAAAATCAGTGAGGTCCACAAAGTCCGAGGTGATGATGTTGACTCCGTCCACCCCTGGCCTCTGAGCCTCAACCCAGGACATGATGGTTGGCAGGTTTCTAGAGCCAAAAAGGAAGAAAGTCTGTATCAGCAAGCAAAGCATTACGGCAATTATTGTTGCACCGAACATCCTGCTATTTAAATTTGAATCAAAACCAAATTCATGACCTTGCAAATACACACAAAAAATATCCACTGGCAAGGTTTTGTATTTTAGTTTTATAGTTATGTCTACAACACTGTCAAAAATCTAATCAGTAGTTCCTTACTTGACTGTTTCTCTTTCTGCCAGATTTCATTAAGAGCTGTTGACTGACTTTTGAGATATGTCACAATGTGGGAGAAAGTGGACATATTGGAGAAAGAAAATTAAAGGGACGGACATTTTTGTCCATCTGTCAGGGAGACAGTGCTTTTCCCCCATTCAGAATCAATGCTTTATATATTTTAGTTCCTGGCATAGACACAAACACAGCGATGCTGTAGCCGTATCACTTCTAACACCCTCTGATTCTTCACTATGTTTCAGTCACCAGCAGAACAAAACCAGGAAGTCACATTGTTTATCCAGCAGTGATAAACAATCCCATTTCCTCGGAAGTGCAAAATTAGGCTACCTCCTGTCTCGCCGTAGTGTCTGTTCAGAAGTTTTATACCCTGATATTGGTGCCCAGTGGCAGATGTAAGGGCATAGAGAGTAGAATACCCGTACATCAAGTCAAGACTTCCACTGACGATAAAAAAGCCAGATGACAGCAAACAAATTGTGAAAATCATATGCCTTTGCTTACGAAGAATACAATCTCTTAAGAGTTATGAAAAGTTATGATTTATGTTTTGTGCACTGTTTTCCCCCCCCGATTCAGTCAATATAATGATAGATGCAAAACATGTTCTTATAACTTACTGTGTTACAGGATGTGCTCTAAGATCTGCAGTGTTTCTTGCAATGTAGTTTTTCAATATTTTTAGAATTTCTTCTTTTTCTGGCCTTTTAAGGCATGTGCAAAGCCAGCGTTTGACTTTGTTCCATGCATTTCATTAGGACCATTAACTCTACTGACCTCTACTGGCCACAAACTATAATAAATGAATGAAGATGAGCAGTAGAGGAAGCAGTTATTCTTGAGATTTTTTTCAGAGTTGTTATGTTAAAACTGTCATACAAATATGATCCATGATTCCCTCTACACCATCCAATCGCAGTCACGGACCTCTCCACCAGGTAGCTGCGCAGGCCCCAGAGCAACCCCTTAGCCACAGTGTTGACAGTGGGAGTGAGGATGGCCTGGGATACATGGAAGGAACCCTGCTTGTCTCTTTCCTTCAGCGTAGTTTCCAGGAACTAGAAGGCAGAAATTTGAATGAAAAAATCTCATGTGAAGAGAATGCATTTAAATATCTTTAGTTAGAAAAAGAACAAAATGGAGACCGCAAGAGATAAAACACGATTATTATTTTCTAACCTCTATGAGCTTGATGGGCTCAGTGGTGTTTGCCCAGGGAGCAGGGATCTTGTTGCCAGGCCACATGACAGGAACGCCTTGGGCTGAAGGATGATGGTAGAACACAATCACCTGTCAAGAGAAAAAATAAATAAAAGTTGGTGATCAGATGTCTGCAGACAAAAAGACTTCAGGCGAGTTCTGTGATCCATTTTGCAGTGCAAAACATAAAGTACCCAAAAATATACCCCCCCAAACCAATGACCCTAGCATGGTGAAACACCTGACCTCAAAGTTAGTGAATGATTACAGATAACTGAGCATAGATGGTGGTATCTGCATGTTTCACCCTTACTGGAGATTTAATATTCAGCAGGAAATCTATGTTGTAGCTACGTCATAACCACAAACCCCTCTGAAGCCCTATGCCATGGCCTACGAGGTAACCTCTGCACCTCCCTAGAAACATAAGTACACGTTGGGTCAACACAGTCCACAACTACGACCACAACAATGAGCTGGGAGTGAGCAGGTAAAAAAGTCCCAGCATTTTGGGGGGTTTGTTTCTATCAGCCGTATTCAAAACACTGGGACAGGACCACAAGGTAACACAATTCACCAAACACAAGCACAAACACCAGCAACGATGTGCGCCACTGATGTGTCTAAAAAGAGTCCTCACAGAAGTCTAAATCTGGGCTTATGTGTAACTGGAAAAATATCTGACCAGAACAGTCTTCATCCACAGTGACTTGGCAGAGATGCAATAGAAAAGTCAGAAGAAGTTTGAGTTGTGGGTTTCTCATAATGCCAAAAAAGAGTGAGGAGGAAAGCTGCCCTTTTCACCTACAAACTGTGCACTTTGTGCTCTACTCTCACTGTCTGCCCTGCACTTCATCTCCTTGTTCTTTGCCAACTAAGCCAGTTACAGATTAGGGTCATGGGAACAGGAATGATAGTATCTGAACATAAACATGCACTGACTGTAGTAATGTAATGCAGACGCAGAAGTACTCACACTTTAGCTGGAGGTAAGAATATGAAAGAGTAATATCGGAGACACCAAAAGACAAAGAAAAATTGAAACGTTTTTAGCTACAAAAATCTGGAAGGATAAATGTAGGTTAGTTTATGAAACAAGTGCTAATAGGATGATACTTGCCACTAATTCTTGCCCTGGAAAATCACAGTTGGAAGGGATTACCTGTGCACAGAGGTCACGCTAACACACCACTACACGAACACCTGTCTACTCCTTTTACTTGTAGGTGTACACCACATTTCAGAGGTTTGTGGAAGTCACTTAATATGTGCATTTTATAAATATCAAACTGATTAGAGATAGGGCACCCTGGTGGTTAGCACTGTTGCCTCACACCAAGAAGCTCCTGTTCAAATCCAGCATCTGGTCACATCTGGTGAGTTTTTATGTTCTCACCATGTATGAGTGGGTTCTCTCCAGTTAGTGGGTTTAGGTAAATTGGTAACTCTAAATTACACATACCCACCTCTCTGTGATAGTTATGCAACAGTTCCAACCAGGGTGTACCCCTGTTGGAGTCAGAACAACATGTGTGCTTATTACTTGGAGCATCTCACCATGAGTCCAAGTTTTGAGGAAATGGATCAAAAAGATGAAAATGTGGAATGTGAAATGTGGTAAAAGTGAAGGTGCTGGAGGACTGCTTGGAGTCACGTGACTTAAGGAGATCATGAAAAAAGAAAAACTATCACTCCATTTTGCAATACCTTGCCATAGCCTGTGACACCACGTACTTGGAACCACTTTCCTCCTCCAAAAGGCCAATGACCCAGACATAACTCCAAATTGCAAGAACTATTTAAGGAATAAGTCAGCTGACTGTCTGCACAGTGAATGAATCTCAGCCCTGCTGAGCTGTCATGGCCAAAAGAAAAGTACATGAAACCAGTCCAACTAGTGGCAGCGCCCTAATAAGGTGTAGGCTGATATGTTCCCAGATGACTTCTGTGAAGGCCAAAAGCCTGCAAGGCTGTGATTTCTAAAGATGGGAGATTATTGGAAAAAGCAAAGCTGAGTTTTTTGTTTTTTAAATTGTTGTGACTTATTTCTGTTCACTCTGCCACTCATATAATGAATACAAGTATGATATTCGGGTTGGATATTTCATGAAAACATTTGACAGATACATTTACCTGTTGCTACATACAACAAGCACACAAACATTTTTGCAACAAAGGCCGTCAGTACTGATGCAGTCTGATCGCACCTGGTATTTCTTCTCCCAGAGATAGTCCAGAGTGACGTTCTCCACCGCACAGTTATTGCACAGTTTGCTGCCAAATACTTCTTGGAGCATGCTGATGAGGTAAACGTGGTGCTCTGCCTCCATTGCATAGTAATGGTTAAAGTCCAGGAACACCACCTACATAAATTAAACATCAAACATAATCAGTTAGTAGTGTAAATGTAGCTCATTTATTTACATGTTTTATGTTTAGAAATTTTTAAAATGTGCTTCTCACCTCTTTCCTGTGTCTGCCCAGGAAGGAGCTGATTTCTAACAGGCCATCCCTCACCTTTGTGAGAATACAGGGTGAAGAGCCAGAGATCAGGATACAAATTTACAAATCTTAAAGTCTCTCAGTCATGAACTGATGCAGAAAGGCTACTGTTTTTTTTAAAAGTCAGCATATTAGAACGCCAAAGAGCAGCTTAAATATTTTAGTGAGTGCGGCACTGCAAAACTCCACCAAAATATTTCACAAAATAAAGGTTAATAGAGTCAAATATCAACCTGTATACAGTTACAGCTGCTAATGCCACTGACATCAGAAAATCTTGAATATGCATTTCTTTATTAAATATTCTTCAGTCACATGGTCAAGTTATGACAGAATCTTTGTAATCAAAGAGTTCCTCATGTAGGGAAAAGAATCACCCATCTTTATAGCTAAACGTTACCCTCTGATCCTTGCTTAAGGTCATCTCTGCCCACTATTAGCAACATCAACTGCAACACAGTACTAGAAGAAAACAGTCACTGTTCATACTGGGAGAAAATTAAAGCTTGTATTCAAATGTCGTTTTAGCATTCTAGGACTGGAGCTGGCACAAAAGCATTCAGCACAGAAGGAAAATATCAGATTGTGACAGATTAAAATGAAAAATGTAACACATAAAAGTAAATGAGGGAGACCAGCTCAACAGTCACAATAACAACCCAAAACGGCAGTAAAAGTTTACTCCTCCGCTCACCTTGTGTCCAAAGAGGCCATGAATGAAGTAGATTTCATTTCCAGGCTCGCCTGGTTTTGCGGACACCCTGAGGTCAAAGTAGCGAATTCCTGCATCCAGCTGCTCCTTAAAAGTCAGGTTCTGGCGACACAGACCACATCACATTATACATAATAAGAAGCTGAGAAACACAGACACTAGACTGTAAAACACAGATCTCAAAAATGTATCATTTAGGCTAAT